TCTCCTACCTGGGACTCCAGAACTGCTTGCTCCCCTCCATCCCCAGTGGGACGCTCCAAAATGCAATCTTTTGCAACAGAGCTAGCTCCTCTTATGGATTTAGCTTTGTTAAGGATGTCAAACTCCTGAACCCTAAATCTGAAAATGTAAGGAAATGTCAACCAAAAGTCATGTAATAAAGTGTCCTCTATTAATACCAGCCCAAATCTGGAAACATCCCCAGTGTCCATCACAGTGGGATGGATGCACTGTAATAAACCCACACAGTAGGACACTACAGAGCAATGAGAATGAACAGACTGCAATTTCATGCAAAGATATGCATGCATGTACTATTACAGTAAAGAGGCAAGACACAGAAGAATGCACGTAGTACTCTTCAATGATGTTAAAAGCAGCAAAACTAATCTCTGCCATTAGAAGTCAACCTAGTGGAAGTCAGGCTGGTGGTAATGTTGCTGAATGCAAGTTCATGTGCCCAACACACCGTGAGGCCAAACCAACCAAAACGTTGCCGTTTGGTGCAGAGAGAGGTTTACTGCTGGGCTGAGCAAGGAGATTGGAGGCCTTGAGCCCCACCCCCGCCCAAATCCCTGAAGGGTTTCAATTGAGCATTTTCAAAGACCAGGTGAGGGAGGGGCAGCCCAGAGTATGTGATCAGCTGTGCACAATTCTGATTGGTTGATAGTGAAATCCTTAGGAGCCAGAAGTTTGGGGAGCTACGCTCAGGATCATCAAGCAGCTAATTTCTTCCATTTGGTGGTGGTTTTTGGCATCTGAGAAACTCAGGAAATATGCATCAGATACTATTATTTGGGTACTTCAGAGAGGAGCTACAGCAGAGGATACGGGGGGGGGGGTCGTGTCCCAGGAAGGTGCATGGGTCCTGCTCAGTTACAATTTCCCCCTTTTCTTTGATCCTCCTCAGTCTTGAGGAGAACAGGTGTTGGACAAGAAGGGGAATGATATTTTAGATAGAGAGATTAATCATAAACTCAGCAGAGGAACTCAGTTTCAATCTCCAATCCTGTTTCATCCTTCCCCAGATCTCTCAGGGGTTGGGGTGATGACCGCTCTGGCTACTTCCTGCTGTAATGGGGCATAGTCCTGCCTGACTTGCGGGATGGATACTGTGTTGGAAACACTCCCAAGTTCCAAGTCCTGGATCCGAGTCTTGTATGATTAAGATCTCATTTCCTGAGGAATTCTGGAGAATAAGCCTGAAAACCAGTATGGACCTGGCACTTTGGGGAGACTTGTAGCCAGGCAGCCAGTTGTCTACTTTGATCTGAATAGGTTTTAATTTTTGATGTAGTATTAACATATATGTAACAAGGGCTTTTGGCCACTACACACATCTCCTTTTTCTCTGCTAACATCTGATCTAAAGCAATTTTATTCTCTAAAAATTTAATAATTATTAGTGAAGACCTTGAGGTCATAAGGTTACAGCTACCATCTGCCAGCAGACACTACTCTGAGAATGGCTGGTGGCCTTCTGAGTATGTCACAGCTCAGAAAACTAGAGTTCTCAATGGGAAGTCACAGAAGCGTTTTGGCAGGTGTGTAATATGAACAGGTCTGCATTTTTAAGAGATCACCCTGGCTCCAGGGTTAACAATGAATTGGAGAGGGATGAAAATGGCAGTTAAAAGACAAACTAGAAAGTTTAAACAATAGTCCAGGCACAAGACGATGGCGTCATGAACTAAGGGCACAGTCACGGAGGTGGAGAGAAGTATAAGGGCTCTCATGAGTTATTCAAGAATTCAGATCAAGACCTGGTGGTGGACACAAGAGGAGGAAACCACAGAGCAGGTGGTATCAAGAATGACAACCAGGTTTCCAGGTGGCAGATTTTTGGAAAGCAATAAACACCCTCCCAGCCTTCTTAGGATAGCAGTGAGACAGCTTCATCAAATCAAAACTGTAGGCATGTCATAAGAATAATGATGACAATAACTAATGTTTACTGAGTAGCTACTAAAAAAAAAAAAAGAAAGAAAGAAAAAGAAAACTAGAGTTCCCAACAATCCAGGAATGTGTCTGAAATCAAGTCCACAATGGCCACCTAGTTTTACCTTGGATGTCTGAACCAGAGCTACTCCATTTTGACTTTCAAATGCATTCCCCTCCTCAAGGCCAAAGAAGACGCACAATGCATGTCCAAAAGACCATAAAACAGGCTGCTTTGGTCAGTAAAGTTTAAGTCAAAGTGCACATAAGCTAGAATGACTTCCCCAGACCTCAATAAGTGCAGATTTTCCCATCATTTCCCCTTCTGATTACAAATCTTTCATTAGGAAGCATTGATGATCAAAATACCTGTCCCTTGATGCTGCGTTGGTAGCTCTTGCCTCAAATTTAGTTCATGTCCCTTGGCACTGGGCCTCCTTTATATTTGCCTAGTTATCCACGTTGGAGGAAAACTAATCACATATTGTGAACCAGCTCAGAGGTATGTTAATGGGGAAACACTTAATAGGCTATACATTTTATCACATACACTCAATTGTTACACAAGCATCGTACATGTGCTTTTAGCAATAGACTTAAAGCAAGCACTGTTATACATCATGGGCAGTTTCATTCTGTGACAACTCCATTAGAGAACTCTTTTTCTATCCTAGACACTGGGGGCAATATTGATAGGGAGACAAACATTTGGTAAACAGTTCAATTAGAAACACAGATTAAAAGCCAGGAATACTTCAGACAACCAAAAATTATAATCACATTCATCAGTTCACTCAATTCTATGCAATCAATCCCTTTTACTAACAGTTTTATGAAATCAGTTTTCATTAGACTTCTTAAATATCTTACCCAGAATCAGCAGTATGATTTGAGAAAAACCTGTACTTGTCAAAAAGTACTTTTTTTTGAGTCTTCTTGAAGATAAAGCAGTTTTGCAAAGCATCAGCTTAACTGTATGAATGACAAAAGACCCAAAAAGGCAAGGTAGAAGATCTGATTACAATGTTTTTGACAAAAAAGCTTAATCAAGTAGTTTGAAGTGTTTCTCCCATTATTTTTTAGTAGCTTCAATTACATATTTAAATTAGAATCCTCAGTTATTAAAAATCTTGATTACTGGTGAATGTTTCAGTATTTTATTTTGTAGGAATGTCCTAGCTATTCAACTACTCAATAAACTTCCATCACATAACTTAACTCAGTACAACTCCAAAACTTCAAGTTACCAAGTATTTGGAGAGATATTTTTAAGTAGGCATTCATAAAACATAATTATTTCTAAAGAGTTCACCCCAAAGCTCTCATCTCATTGGCATTTAATAAGAATTTCATCATACCAAGTTAATTTGTTTCTTTTTGCTGACAAATTCTCCAACAGAAACATGAACTCATTGATCTTCAGCAAACCTAGGTGCAATAAGATATATCTGTGTTGATTACACCAACAAGCTTAAGCTAGCTTTTATATTAGATGTCAGTTTAATATTGAATATTTCCTAGATCACATGAAACTACTGAAACTTGTTCTAGCTTCTTTTATACTTAGCAGTATTCAATCTGTAAGCACTTTATTTTTAAGTCAATTAAATAGAGCTCATTTACAAGTTAACTTTTAACATAAAGACATACAGAACCGAAGATCTGTTTTTCCCTCTTGAGTTTAAAAAAAAACCAAAAAACAAAAAAAGCCCTCTTTTCTCCTTGAGAGCCCAGGTAGATCATCTACATCTCAAAGACACAGGAAGAGAAACACAAATTCCTCCTCTAACTGCTTGTACAAAACCCAGTCATCTTGGCTATTTTCTGGGATATTTTTTCTAATTCCCAAATATCCACTTCGGTTTAAAGAAATTAACAGTAATAATTTTATATACAAAATTCACTTATATTCACATGTCTTACTCTAAACAAAACCAGGAAAAGAGAAAGGATTTGGACTCATTTACTGAGATAAATACACACACATATACACACACAGACACACACACACACATACACACAACATCCACACACACACACAGACACACAAGCGCGCGCACACACACATATGCGCCTGCACGCACACACATGCACACATACACCCCCCCCTCCAAGGTAAAAGCCGAAGCAACTATAAAAGGCCCACTTTGATTTACTAGCAGAGCCACTAGGGGCCATTGTTCTCCAGGTCTCAGGGGTACTGAGCCCACACAGTGTGACAATAAAAAATATTTTCTTTCATTAATGGGAGCATAGCTGAAGCTCTCCCAGTTTTGCATAACATACCCTAGGGGACTATAAGATGGAACAGCGCTCTGATCATCTATACTTAAGTATTCACGGATGATGTTATCAAATATCAAGCAAACAACAAATCAAAACGGTTTCTCAGGGTCAGAGTGCCTTAGCCCCAAAGGAAGATCCCCAACTAGTGCCCTATCAGAGAGGAAGCGGAATGAATGCCCAAGGCCAGAAACAGAAAATCTCAACCAAGAAGCCAATGCAGCAGGCAAGGATACCCTGGTGTCATCACTGTCCCCTGTTACTCACCAAAAACATCTCAACTGGCCAGAGCAAGAACTGATACATACACATACAAACAACAAACATGGCCCCACAAACAAAAGATCAGATGAGATGCAGCCCAAAAATTTCACTTCCACTCCCAGACAGAGGCTTCCATATGGCCTGGCTCCCAAAACAGAACGGACCCAGAGTGGCTCACTTCCTGCAAGGGAAGGAGCCCAGGAGGAGCAGGTAGTTTCCCATCCTGCTGAAGCCAGAGTGGCTCACCCCAAAACCATACACACACACAAAAACAAGCAACAAATAAGCTCCAGTCACACAGGCATAAAATTAGAGAAGATGTAGTCTAAAAATTTCATTTCTACTCCCAGAGGCCTCCAAACAGATTGTCCCAGCTGCTGAAAGAGAATGGACCCAGAGTGGCTCACAGTGAGCCCAGAGCAGCTCACCTCCCGCAAGGGAATGAGCCCAGGTGGAGCAGAGAGAATTCCCAGCCTGTGCAAGCTGGAGCCACTCACCCCAGGTGACACCGAATGTAGACCACAGCTCCGGACACTTCTCCAAACAGCCTTGTACCGGTGCCTGTCAGGGAGAGACCCTTCCAGGTCCTGGGAGCGAAGTGAGCTCCCGCAGCTGCTGGGACCCAGGAAAGGGGCTGCCCCCGGCGGGGGTCAACCTGCCCCGGGCACAGACTCCACGCTGATTCATCGAAATTGTTACTGAACCAAGTCCGTGGACACAGAGTGGCTGGGCCCAACACACAGAGAAGCCAGTCAAACTGAAACTTTGAGTTTGGAGCAGAGAAAGTTTTATTGCAAGGCCAAGCAAGGAGAAAGGATGCCTCGGGCTCAAAAAAAAAACAAAAAACAAAAAACAAAAAACAACCCAACAACAACAACCCAAACTTCTCAAAGGGTTTCAGCTGAACATTTGTAAAAGCCAGCTGAGGGAGGGGCATCCCAGGGTGTGTGACCAGCTGTGCACAATTCTCTGCTTGCTGGTGATCAATCCTTAGGCACCAGAAGATCTGGGAGCTACGTGCTCAGGATCATCAAGTAGTTAATTTCTTCCATTTGGTGGTGGTTTTCAGCATCTGAGAAACTCAGGAAATATGTATCAGATACTATTGTGTGGGTATTTCAGAGAGGAGCTACTGCAAAGATATGGGGAGGGGTCTGTCCCTAGAAGGGTGTAGATAATCAAACTAAGAATTCAAACAAAAAATAAAAACATTTTAAAAACCTAAAATAAAAATTTTCAATATTTTTATTTCTTTGAAAATCCTTTTTCTTTCACTTTAGGAGGATATAGTCTCATAGCAAAATTACTTTAAGCTATAATAGAAACTAGAAGAAGAATTAAAGATTTGAGTTCGAGCTTCCACTTCATTTTCCTATTGATTGCTGTGAACTGTGCATTAAGCTCAGAATGTTATTGCAAGAGATCGCTGGGATCATCTAGTTAATCTCCCTCAACATCTTCCTTCTCCGTAGTGGAGCCGAGGCCTAGAAAAGTGAAGTGACTCACTCAAGGACACGTGTTCTTTAGTAATAAAACTGACATGAAAAACATTTTCAAGATGAAAGTGGCAGTGGCAGTTTGTGGCCCAAAAGTTCCCATGATTTCTCCTTCTATGATTAAGAATAAAAATATTACTGAGAAGCATAATTGTTATTGTATAATAATGGGTCATTAGATAAACACAGAACTTAAATTAATCTGTTCCATTTAGACAGGGACTAGTACTCTTCATTTAATTATTGTGACTCTGAAACAAAATTCTCTTTTAATTGGCACTTGTAAGATAGCTTCTCCTTGAGACTTAAAAAAAAAAAGTGTGATAGGAGAGTGTAGGTTATGATCCCATAACAAACAGCCCCTAAATCTTGGTAGTTTAAAACAGCTCACGTTTATAATCGTGCCACGTGTCTATCAAATGTCAGCAGGAGCTTGGTTTCCCCTCTTCATGGTCCTCTGTCTGGGACTCGGGCTGAAGGGAAAGCCAGTCTCTGGACTGTGGGTGGTGGTGATGGCGGTGGGGGAAGAGAATGGGATAAAGCACACACTGGTTTTGGAATCTTCTGTCTGGAAGTGACACACACAACTTCCACATCCATCTCTGCATCAGAGCAAGTCTCCTGATGACCCCCAACCTCCCTTGGCAGGGCAGTGCTATCCTGCCACGAGTCTGGAAGGAGGGAGAGCTGGAATATTTGGGAAGAGTGCTAAAGACTGTCTCCAAAAGCAACGGAAACTGTACCCATGGAAGTCCTACATTTCCTCATTAGTTTTACCATAATCACTGTGACCTACGCTACTTAAACATATGATGGAGTGAAGATAAACTCTGCAGAAAGAAAAACCTAGACATAAAAGGCAGCAGTGGCAGATATAAATAAAACTCGTTCAACTATCATTGAAAGGATTTTTATGAAAGGCACGAAGTGGTTTTGTGTGCCTTTCTGCAAATAGTTTAGTGGGCTGAATGATCAATATTCCTCTAAAGTGCCCAGGACCATTTTGACCAAAGGCAACTAAATAAATGAATTGTCCTTCAGGGCTACAACACTGAACTTAAATGAAAGCAGCTTACAGGGATGCAAACAAAAGGCATCTCTTGTGGTCACTGTAGCATTAAACATCAACTAGGAGAGAGTGCTGTTAAGTAGAAAGGGGGAAAAATCATTTTGTTGGGGCTATAGTCTCTAATATTAAATTGTTTCAAAAAAGAAAAAAAAATTGACAGATAATAGTTTGTTTCCCATGACTTTCTCCTGTTTTTTTTCTCCGCACACAAACCTACCCATAAATCATCGGTACTGAGAAGTGAAAGCGAGAATGTGTCAGGCCTCACTCCTCAGCCCCTCTAAGCCATTACTTTCTGTACTGGGTTTCAAGGGCTATTGTCTTTGGTGAGTAGCAAATAAATATATTTTTAAAAATACATCTAGTGAAGACATGCATTTAAATGGGCACTGGTCAGAAAGCAAAACTGGAATGTAAGTGACAGTCTATTAAACACACACACACACACACACAC